GCCTGGGCACCGGCGTCGACAGGTCGCGGCCGCAGACCTGGACGGACGAGCGCTGGCCGACCACGAGGCGCCCGCCGCCTCAAGCGGGTCGCCCCGGGCGCCGCCGCCGCCGTCCTCGTCGTCGCCGTCGTCGCCGTTGCCGTCGTCGTCTCCGTTGTCTCCCCGCGCATGGCGGCAGTGCGCGAGCGGGGGTGGGAGGTGGCGAGGGGGATGAGGACGAGGGGGGACAGAAGCAGGAGGACAAGGGAGAGGGGGAGGGGGAGGAGGGGCAGGATGAGGAGGAGGAGGAGGAGGAGGAGGAGGAGGGGCAGGATGAGGTGGAGGGGGAGGATGAGATGGATGATGATGATGATGATGATGATGATGATGATGATGATGATGATGATGATGATGATGATGATGATGCTGATGATGACGATGATGATGATGATGATGATGATGATGATGATGATGATGATGATGCTGCTGATGATGATGATGATGGTTATGCTGATGCTGATGATGATGCTGATGCTGATGGTGATGCTGATGGTGATGATGATGATGACGATGCTGCTGATGATGCTGATGCTGATGACGATGATGGTGATGATGGATGATTTTGATGCTGATGGTAGTGGCGATGATGATGGTGGTAGTGGTGATGATGTTGATGGTGATGACCATGGTGATGATGATCCTGATGGTGGTGATGCTAATGACGATGGTAATGATGATGAATCTGCTGCTGCTGATGATGACGATGATGATGATGGTGGTGATGATGATGTTGGTGATGATAATGTCTCTGCTGCAGATGATGAGGATGCTGATGGTGCTGCTGCTGCGGATGATGGTGGTGGTGGTGATGATGAGAATGGCGATGAAGATGGTGCTGTTTTTCCTCGCTCTCTTTCTCGCCGTCTGTTCGTCTGTTTGCACGTCGGTCCTTCGGTCGGTCTCTCGGTCTCTCACGGACTCTCTTCGGGTCTCTGGTTTCCCTTGTTAAGTGTGGCTTCATCATCTCTCTCTCTCTCTTTCTCTACATCTCTCTTTCTCTCTCTCTCCCTCTCTCTTTCTGCATTGTCGGACCTAAGGACGCACAACGGCTTGCTGGCGTTCTTCGGGATCGGCCAGAGCGAGTTCCTCTGGTACCTGAGGTGCGGACTCTGCTGGTTGCTCGGCCCGTTGTTCCTCCCTTCACTTGATTATTAACCCTCCTCGTCGTCCTCGTCGTCCTCCGCCTCCCTCGCCTTCGTCTTCCTTTTGCTCCTCCTCATCCTTCTCCTCCTCCCCCTCCTTCTCGCCGTCTTTTTCCTCCTCCTCTTCCATCCCTCTTCTGTACAACTACTGCGTGTCGCCGTTGCTGTGGCTTTCACCCAGCACAAATCTCATCCTTGTCGTACCACAAGACGTGTCGTTAAGGTTGGATGGGCGCCTCGCCTGAGGCATCATCACTGTTAGCGATCCCAAGGCTAAACATTTCCAAGAGCTACTCTGATGGAGGGTGTACCGCGATTTAAATGGAGCTCTTGCTTTGGCGCCGCGGACACTCTTCTTGGGAAACCAAGTAGTTGACACAGGTGGAGGGCGGGTCGTTCTCACATTGGGTCTCTCGCTTTGGCGTTGCGCACGCTCGTCTTAAATGGTTTTCAGCAGGTGCACGGATGGAGGGCGGGCCGCTTTCAAAATGGGACTTCCGCTTGGGTGCCGCGCGCACTCGTCTTAAAGCACCCAGCGGTTTAGCCACTGGAGGGCCCGCATTCTTCCCAACCATCTTGCGGTGTTGGGCCCCCGTTTTGAAGAGACAGCGCCCCGCGTCACCCCACTCACTCCAGTTGCCCCCTCCCCTTTCATCCCATCATTATCATCATCATCATCATCATCATCATCATCATCATCATCATCATCATCATCATCATCATCATCATCATCATCATCATCATCATTGGCATCGTCATCGTCATCGTCATCGTCATCGTCGTCACCATCACCATCACCATCACCATCACCATCACCATCACCATCACCATCACCATCACCATTACCATCACCATCACCATCACCATCGCCATCACCATCACCATCACCATCATCATCATCATCATCATCATCATCATCATCATCATCATCATCATAATCATAATCATCATCATCATCATCACCATCACCATCGTCATCATCATCACCATCATCATTAACATCATGACCGTCGTCATCACCATCGCCATCGCCATCGCCATCATCATCATCATCAGCATCATCATCATCATCATCATCATCATCATCATCATCATCATCACCATCATCGCCATTAGTTCGGCACACCTCTCACACGTTTCGTGGCCCCGCAGGAACTCCACTGAAGGCCCCAATGGTTGCGTTCGCATGCGCCCAGCGCACCTATTTTGGCACACCCCTCACACGTTTCGTGGCCCCAGCTCCAGCGGAGTCCCCAGCGGCTGCGTTCGCATGCGCCCACCGCACCCATTTCGGCACACCCCTCACACGCTTCGTGGTCGCATAGGGAGCTCCACCGAAGGCCCAGGTGGCTGCGCTCGCATGCGCCCACCGTGCCCATTTCGGCACACCCCTCACACGTTTCGTGGCCCCACAGGGAGCTCCACCGAAGGCCCCAGTGGCTACGCTCGCATGCGCCCACCCTGCCAATTTCAACACACCCCTCACACGTTTCGTGGCCCCACAGGGAGCTCCACCGAAGGCCCCAGTGGCTGCGTTCGCATGCGCCTACCGCACCCGTGTCGGCACACCCCGCACACGTTGCGTAGCCCCATGTGGGGCTCCACCGACGGCCCCAGTGGCTGCGCCCGCATGCGCTCACCGCACCCAGTTTTGCACACCCGTCACACGTTTCGTGGCCCCACAGGGAGCTCCACCGAAGGCCCCAGTGGCTGTGTTCGCATGTGCCCGCCGCACCCTTTCGGCACACCCGTCACACGTTTTGTGGCCCCATAGGGAGCTCCACCGAAGACCCTAGTGGCTGCGTTCGCATGCGCCCACCGCACCCACGCCGGCTCACCCCTCACAAGTTTCGTGGCCCATAGGGAGCTCCACCGAAGGCCCACGTGGCTGCGCTCGCATGCGCCCACCGCACCCATTTCGGCACACCCCTCACACGTTTCGTGGCCCCACAGGGAGCTCCACCGAAGGCCCCAGTGGCTGCGTTCTCATGCGCCCGCCACACCCGTGCCGGCACACCCCTCACACGTTTCGTGGCCCCATAGGGAGCTCCACCGAAGGCCCCAGTGGCTGCGTTCGCATGCGCCCACCGCACCCGTTTTTGGCACCCTTCACGCTCTCCGTGGCTCTACAGGGAGCTCTTCCGAATGCGGTGCGTAAAACGACGGTGCTCACAACTGCATATCGTCGGGTCCCTCGCCAGGCTAAATCTTTCAAACATGGGCGCTCACCTTAGCACCATGCGCGCTCGTCTTAACCATTTCCAACAACTGCACGGAAGGATCCTGGTCCATTTCAAAGTGAGGTTATCGCTCGAGATTTGCTCAACATGTGTTGCCGCATTTTTGCAATGTTGCAACATGTGCACGAGGGGGGGCCGCTTCTTTGCAACAGATGGCTCTCGCTTGATACATCGATTGTTGTTGTTTGACGGCCAGGAGCGGCGCACGGTGCAACAGTTCTACTGGTGGAGGGCAGTTCCTTGTCGAGTCGGGGCTGCCACTGGGCACCTTATGACGAAAATCCTGGGGGCCTCGCGCGTCGCGCAACATCATCTAGTCAGCACGTCTGCCCCGTAAGATGTGGGACGGCGTTCATCCGGCGACGCCCCGACGTACGTCCGACATGCATCCGACGTGAACCCGACGTAAGTCCGACGTGATGTGGCGTGAGCCCGACGTGATTCTGACGTGAGTCCGACGTAGGTTGGGTCTCAAGTTGCCGCGCGAGGCCTCCTCGTTCTCCTCCTCCTCCCGCTGTTCCTCCACGTCGTGCTCCTCATTCATTCTTCCCACCTCTTCTCCTCATCCTCTTCCTCCTCCTCCTCAGGATTTCCCTCATAAAGGCACTTTTTGAAAGTGCAGGACGCCACCGTGCCGCACTCCTTATAGCTTGAAGGGTGGAGGGCTGCCTCTCTCAAGATGGAGCGCCCTCTTCCGAGTTGCGGGCCCGCGGGGCGCTCGTCTTGTAACGGGGGGGATGCTTCGCGCAGTGAGCACAACGGCCTGCAGCAGTGTAGGAACGAATGGGCTGGGGACCTTTGGGCGGGGGGGGTGTCTGCAGCACCATTGGTACATCGTGTGCTTTCTCTGGTCCTCGTTCCTCCTCATCCTCCTCCTCCCTCCCCTCTCCTCCCTCCCCTCCCCTCCCTCCCCTCCCCTCCCCTCCCCTCCCCTCCCTCCCTCCCTCCCTCCCTCACTCCCACACTAGCGCCCAGTTCCTCTGACACGGGCCGCAGTGGTTCGTTGGCCACTAGGCAAGGACGAAGGGTCGGGGAGGGTGCAGATCATCTGGCTAGCCCCACGCTTTCGCGCTTTTCGGCAGTTCCTTCTGCTCAAGGGCGTCAACTAGACGCCTACCTCCTTAGGTCAGGGTCTCTGGCTTGCCTGGATTGCTCAGCTGAGCGTGACGGGGCCCTCGCGTCGGCGCGCGCGTCGTTCGTCGCTCCGCTTCTGCGTGTGAAGTGCCACTGGCTTCGAAGAGGAAACAATTCCATAAACATAAACTTTTGGCACTCCGCGCGGAGCGTCAACAGCTTATGCTTATGCAGTTGTTTCTTCCTCCATGGCCGAGGCGTCAGCGGGGGTACACGCACACTTTGTGTTGTTGGCCTCGATTGGGGCCTCGATTGGCAGAGAATTGATTGCCCCCCAAACTGGTTTCACAACCTACCATTCGTTTGATTCTTCCGGAATGGAACAGCTCCTGTGCCGTCCACCACTGGCAGAGCATTCAAAGTGATGAAGATGGGACCTTCAGTGGTGCGAATCGCTTCCTTCGCTGTCACGTTTTTGAAATGGCCACGGATTGCTTCCAGTGGTCCAGGGGCCCATACGAATCCACCAGCCCCTTCCCTCTCTCCGCTTGCTCCTCTTCTTTCTTCTTCTCTTCCTCCCTCCCACCTCCTCCTCCTCCCCCCTCCTCGCTCTCCTCCCTCCTCCCCCTCCTCCCTCCTCGCCCTGCGCGCTCTCTCCCTCTCTCTCTCTCTCTCTCCCGCGCGCATGGGAGAGCGACTGGCCGCATCTCGCTTGTTTTTTTTTGTTGTTGTTGTTGTTTGATGCTCGGTTTTTATATAATATTTTTGTTTCTCTCTCACGGCGATGATGGCGCCCGCCAGGAGCCTACCAGAGGTGCGGGCCGCTTTCGCGGCGTTGTGGGGCTCCGACGACCTCCTGGCGTCGTTCGACGGCGCCACGGCGCTCCGCTTCCAGGAAACGATGGGGGGGGAGCGGGGAGTGACCACCCAGGCACCCAGACGTCTTGGGAAATCAAGGCGGCGGTGTTCTCGCGTTTTCGGCCTCTGGGGGCTGCCTTCGGTCTCCGGGACAATCAGAACAACGGCCTGGGATGGGAAGCCCGCCCTGGGGAAATAATTGGTCTTCTGGAGACCCCGTCTTGAACACATCGAGACATCATACGTCTGGGATCGAGGATCGCGGAGGTGGAAGCGTAGGAGGATGAGAAACATTTGTGTGACATTGTTTTCTGTACGATGTGTTTTCGGAGGCCCGAAGACGGGAATTTTGTACACAGGCGTGTTTCAGGAAGCAGTGCGCATGTCAGCTGGCAGAAGGGTACACAGAAAAGCAGGCGAGCAGAGTCACGATATGTGGTAGTTCGAGCTCGAGAGGCCTCTCGCGCAGTCAAACATGTTTCGCATCCCCTCGCCCAGCATGCAGAGCAATAGCGGGGCAGGGAGCGACGATAGCTTCGCTGATGTGCAGGAGTTCGATTCGAAAGCGACGGCGACTTCGAGAGCGCCGAGCAATTGACAGTCTGAGGACCAGGAGGGATCAATGTGAGGATCTCCGCTATGGAGAAGCCTTTAGTTCGTTGGTGTGCTGGCACGTTTCCTTTTTGTACTTTCCATGCCTTTTTGTGTTCAGCATGTTTCTCTACTCGAGTCGCGAGAGTCAGGAGAGCTCATGGTAAGGTAGTCGTTCCACACATGCGAGCACATCACAGGGCCGACTCGAGCTAGGGCCACATCACACGTGGGTGTACACCTCATGCCCTTGTACCTGAGGCTGTCAGCTTCGCTGCGAAGGCAGCGTGTGACCGGTATGACGGCAGAGTCACCGAGGGCAAGCTCTTTCTCAACGACCCTTTTTGCATGCACGATCCGGTGGACTCTTGAACTGAGAGGTGGGATATTTCGGGATGCCACTCTAGCTTTTTCTTTTTGGGGGGGGGGGTCACTGCATGATTCCCCTTTGATGGCATCCTCCAGGGCTCACTTCGATCTGGTCGATCCAATTCGATTCCGGCCTCGCGCCGGCGCTGCCCGACACGGATGCACGCTCCGCTTCGACCCCCACTTTGCCGTCTCGATGTCGACAGAACCCGCAGGCTCGCGCCGCGTGGATGGGAGCGCAAGCGCCCTGCCGACCAGGCCTCGGAACAACAATATAGCGATCACTCATGCCATCCTGATCGCTCAGCGCCTCGCCCTCCCCCCGATGTTCCAAGTTTTGGTGGTGGGTCTGATGAGTTGCACTTCGACCGCAGTCTCCTCCGCGCGTGCCAACTTTGAATCTGGGGGAAAGGGGGAGTGTCCGTTACAGTGAAGCATGCCAAGAAACACCCTGCTTGCCTCCAGGGTGCCCTGGGTTTGTTGGGTTTCGATGGTTTTGCTGTGGAAAGCGTGAGGTTCCAACACCAAAAATCAATGGACATCATGGGGTCTCAGGGTTGGGTTTCTTGTGGAAGTTTCCTTGTGGTGGGGCCCCTACTGTACGTAGACGGTATCCACCTCGTCCCTCCCCCTTTCCCTCCTCGTGATCCCGTCGCCCGTTCTTCCAGAGGATCCCAGCTTGCACGTCAGCCACGACTACTGGTGGCACGTGGACCAGAATCCGCGCAGCCAGCCCGCGTCCGACTGCCTGCAGGACAGGCCGCCCCCCTCCTCTGGCCGTCCCCCCCCCCCCCGGGCTGATGCCCGGCCGCGCGCACGCACGCCCGTGGCCGTGCTTCTGCTCCCCCTCGCGACCGTGCACACGGCAGGCTCGTGCCGTCCCAACGTCGCCGCGACCCCAGCGCGGGCGTTCCCAGGTGGAGCACCGCCCAAGGCCCCCCCTGGATCTGCGCTGCTGCCGGGCAGCCGCAAGCGCTCGAGGTTCCACGAGCCGCGGGTCCCGCCACCGTGCACGCGCTTACGCACAGTTCGCTGGCGGCTCGGGAAATTCGAAGCGTTTGTTGTTTTCGTCTTGTCTTTTATCTTTGCGGTGTCTGCCCTCTTCCCTGTCTTGCGTGCTAGTCAATCCGCTTTTCGGTGCCCCTGTCTAGCTCTTTCGCTGGTGCAGCCAATTCTGCCTCTGCCTCGCCGCAGACGGAACACATGATTTTTCGCTCGGCCTCTTGAAGTCGGTCTCGGGCTCCGGGCACCGTCAGAAGACGGCTGGGAGCGGCAGGCTCTTGTCCTGGGGGAGGGCGCCTCGTGACTCGGCTCCAGAGGTCGAGCCGCCAGCTGCCTGGGCCCGCAGCACCTTCGCGCGCGCGTGTGCGCGCGCGTTCCCCTCCTCCGCGGCCGCCCGGTCCGTTTTTTCCCCTCTCCTGCCCGCTGGCCAAATTCGCTTCTCCGTGCCCCCTGTTAGCTCTATCGCTGGTGCAGCCATCCTGCCTCGTCGCCGACGAAACGGTGCACGCGTTTTCGCTCGCACGCGTGGCGGCGGTTCGGGCCCTCCTCCCCCTTTCTGCCTCCGCGGCCGCCCTCTTCTTTTCCACCCGCACTTGCGTGCCCGAATTCGGCGCGCCCCGCCAGTTTCCAGACGCGCTGGCGTCCGCCAGCGGTGCCGACAGAAAGCTTCGTGATCTTGTTCGTGCTCGTGTTTGTGCCCGATGGGCGCAGTCCCTCCTCTGCCATAACGCCCCCTCTCACTTGTTTTAAGTCGGGCCTGTCCCCCTACAGGAGGAATATTCAAAAACAGTGAAAACATTGTCTGGGGACGATTCGTTGACTATTTTTCATTGTTTTGAATCTGTTATTTTTTTTCGCCTAAGATCAGCCTGTAGGAGGACATGCCCGACCTGACACTTGTTTTATCCCACCGTGTGCCTTGATCGGGCTGCCTGCCTGTCGCTCCGACACCCGATCCGCGTGCCGTTGCACTTCCGCGCTGCGCCCTTCCTGCCCCGCGCGCTGCGCACCGCCTCCACCTGCTGCCACTCGCCCCCTCTTCCCCTCTCCTTCGTCCCCTCGCGCCCCCCCGCGCGAGTAATCCGATCGATTCCCTATGATCCATGGTCCCCCCCGCCGCGTGGGCTGGCCCGGCCGCGCGCTCGCTCGCCTTCGTCTGTCTGCGCCGCGCCACCACGCGGGTGGCCGTAACGACGACGACGCCGACGAAGACGAGGACGACGTCGACGAGGACGACGTCGACGACGGCGGCGACAAAACGACGTCGACGACGACGACGACGGCGACAGAATGACGTCGACGACGACGATGACGGCGACAAGACGACCCCGACGACGACGATGGCGACAAAACGACGTCGACGACGACGACAACGACGACAAAACGACGACGACGGCGACGAAACGACGGCGACCAAACGACGCCGACGACGACGACGGCGACAGACCGACGCCTACGACGACGACGCCGCCGCCGACGACGACGGCGACAAAACGACGTCGACGATGATGACGACGGCGACGAAGCCCTGTAGACGACGACGACGGCGACAAAACGACGTCGACGACGACGACATAACGTCGACGACGACGACGACGACGGCAACAAAACCGACGACGGCGACGACGACGACGGCGACAAAACGACGTCGACGACGACGACAACGACGACGACGACGACGGCGACAAAACGACGTCGTCGACGACGACGACGACGGCGACAGGACGTCGGCGACGACGGCGACGATTGTGAGGACGGCGACACAGCGACGTCGACGACGACGACGACAGGACGTCGGCGACGATGGCGACGATCGTGACGACGGCGACAAAGCGACGTCGACGACGACGACGACAGGACGTCGGCGACGACGACGACGACGACGGCGACGACGGCGAGAAAACGACGTCGACGACGACGACGACGAAGCGACGACGACGACGACGACGGAGACAAAACGACGACGACATTCAAACGACGTCGACACTACGACGACGGCGACAAAACGACGTCGACGACGACGACGACGGCGACAAAACGATGCCGACGACGACGGCAACGACGACGATGGCGACAAACCGACGTCGACGGCGGCGACAAAACGACGCCGACGACGGCGACGACGGCGACAAAACGACGTCGACGAGGACGACGACGGCGATAAGACGATGGCGACGACGACGACGGCGACACAACGACGTCGACGAAGATGACAAAACGACGACGACGGCGACGAAACGACGGCGACCAAACGACGTCGACGACGACGACGACGGCGACAGAGCGACGTCGACGACGACGACGCCGCCGACGACGACGGAAACAAGACGACGTCGACGACGACGACGACGGCGACGAAGCCATGTGGACGACGACGATGACGACGGCGACAAAATGACGTCGACGACGACGACCACGACGGCGACATAACGTCGACGACGACGACGACGGCGACACAACGACGACGACGATGATGACGATTGCGACAAACCGACGTCGACGACGACGACGGCAAAACGACGACGATGACAAAACGACGTCGACGACGACGACGGCGACCAAACGACGACGACGACGACGTCGACGACGACGACGGCGACAAAACGACGTTGATGACGACGGCGTCGGCGACAAGACGACGACGACGGCAACGACGACGACGACGACGACGGCGACGAAACGACGACGACGACGACGGCGACAAAACGACGTCGACGACAAAACGACGACGACGACAACGGCGACAAACTGACGCCGATGACGACGGCGACGACGACGGCGACAAAACGACGTCGTCGACGATGATGGTGACGACTAATCGACGTCGACGACGACGACGGCGACACAACGACGACGTCGGCGACGACGACGATGATGACGGCGACAAAACGACGTCGACGGCGACGACGGCGACAAGACGACGTCGACGACGACGGCGACAAAACGACGAGGACGACAAAACGACGAGGACGACAAAAAGACGACGACGACGACGGCGACAAATTGACGTCGACGACGACGACAAAACGACGTCGACGACGACGACGACAGCGTGAGATCGACGACGTGGACGACGACAAAACGACGTCGACGACGATGACGGCGACAGATCGACGCCGACGTCGACGACGACGACAACGGCGGCAAAAGGACGACGACGACGACGTCGGCGACAAAACGACGACGACGACGACGACGACAAAACGACGACGACGACGGCGCGACGACGACGACGACGATGACGACGACGACGACGACCAAACGACGACGACGACGACGTCGGCGACGACGACGGCGACAAACTCACGTCGACGACGACGACGGCGACGACGGCACGTCGACGACGGCGACAAAGCGACGTCGATGACGACGACGACAAAACGACGATGGCGACAAAACATTTTCGACGATAACGACGCCGACGACGACGGCGACAAAACGACGACGACGATGCCGACGACGATTTCGACGACGACGACGACAGCGACAAGACGAATGCCGACCACGCCGACGACGACGACGACGCCGGCATAACGAAGACGACGACGACGGCGACAATGCGACGACAAAACGACGACGACGACGACGACGGCGACAAAACTGCGCCGGCGACGACGACGACAAAACGACGACGGCGACGACAAAACGACGACGACCACGACGGCGACAAAACGACGACGACGTCGACGACGGCGACGACGGCTACAAAACGACGACGACAACGACAGCGACGACGGCGACGGCGACAAAACGATGCCGACGACGACGACGACGAGAAAACGACGACGACGACGACGTCGACAAAACGACACCGACGTCGACGACGACGACGACGGCGACGCCGACGACGACAAGACGACGACGACGACAAAGCGACGACGACGACGACGACGGCGACAAACCGACGACAATAGAACGACGACGACGACGACGGCGACGACGACGACGGTAAAACGACGTCGACGACGACGACGGCGACAAAACGACGCCGACGACGACGATGGCGACAAAACGACGTCGACGACGAAGGCGGCGGCAACCGAACGACGACGTCGACGACGACGACGACGGCGACAAAACGACGTCGACGACAGAGACGATGACGATGACGACGGCGACAAAACGACGTCGACGACGACGATGCCGATGGCGACAAAACGACATCGACGACGACGGTGGCGGCGACAGAACGAGGACGTCGACGACGACGGCGACGGCGACGGCGACAAAACGACGTCGACGACGACGACGACGACGACAAAACGACGACGACGACGACGGCGACAAAACCACGACGCCGACGTCGACAACGACGACAGCGGCGACAAAATGACGTCGACGACGTCGACGACGGTGACGACGACGATGGCGACCAAACGACGACGTCGACGACGACGGTGACAAAACGACGTCGTCGACGACGACGGCAACAAAACAGCGACGGCGGCAAAACGACAACGACGACGACGGCGACAAAACGACGTCGACGACAACGACGACGATGCCGACATAACGACGACGACGACGGCAAAACGAGGACGACAAAACGACGACGACGACGGCGACAAAACGACGTCGACGACGGCGACAAAACGACGTCGATGACGACGGCGACAAAACGACGTCGACGACGACGACCAAACGGCGACGACGACGACGGCGACAAAACGTCGACGACGACGACGATGTCGACGACGGCGACGGCGACAAAACGACGTCGACGACGACGTCGGCAACGACGCCGACGACGGCGACAAAACGTCGTCGTCGACGACGACAAAACGACAAAGATGTCGTCGACGACGACGGCGACGACGACGACGTCGACAACGCGACGACGACGACGCCGACGACGACGACGATGGCGACAAAACGACGACGGTGACAAAACGACGTCGACGACGACGACGGCTACAAAACGACGACGACGACGACGACGGCGACACAACGACGACGTCGATGACGGCGGCGGCGGCGACAAAACGACGTCGAAGACGACGACGGCGACGTCGACGGCGACAAACCGACGATGACGACAAAACGACGACGACGACAACACGACAACGACGACGATGACGACGATGACGACGACGGTGATAAAAGGACGATGATGACGACGACGAGGTCGATGACGACGACGTCGACGGCGACAAAACGACACCGAAAACGACGACAAAACGACGACGACTACAAAACGACGCCGACGTCGACGACGACGACGACCACGACGACGATGACGTCGACGACGACGACGACGACTGCGACGACGACGACGACGTCGACGACGACGACGACACCCGCAGACGCAAGCGTCGTGCCCGTCGCCCCGCGCTGCCGCGGGCACGGCGGCTTGCGCCGCCGCCGCACGAGGGCGTGCTACAGCTGACGGCCGCCTCCCCGGACACCGGCGGGCTGGTGCTGGTCCCGGGCTCCCACAGGCCCCCGTGGGGGTGAGGGGCGAGGTGCCCTCTCCTTCTTCTGCCTCCCTGCCTCCCTGCCTCCCTCCCCTCCTTCTCCCTCGTCCTCTTGCCCTCGCCTCCTCGCCCTTGCCCTCGTCCTCTTGCCCTCGCCCTCCCCTCCTCGCTCATCCTCGACCACGGCCCTCGTTCCTTCTGCTTCGTCCTCCTCTCTCCGCCGTCTTCCCTGGCCCCTCAAGTCCTCACCTTCACCCACCGCCTTCCTCCTCCCTCTCCTCCCCCACCGCCTCCCTTGTCATCGTGGTCGTCGGCGTCGTCTCTTAGCGGAGGAGGAGGGGGAGGAGGGGGAGGAGGAGGGGGAGGAGTAGGAGGAGGAGGAGGAGGAGGAGGAGGAGGAGGAAAAGGAGGAGGAGGAAGAGGAGGTTGGAATTTTGGAGGTTGGAGGTTGAAGGTTGGGTGTGGGAGGTTGGAGGTTGGAGGAGGAGGAAGAGCAGGAGGAGGAGGAGGAGAAGGAGGAGTAGGAGGAGGAAGAGCAGGAGGAGGAGGAGGAGGAGGAGGAGGAGCAGGATGAGGAGGATGAGGAACAGGAGGAGGAACAGGAGGAGGAGGAGGAGGGGGAGAGCTGACTGACTGACTGAATGACTATGAGTCGGACCCAACATGTCGTCAACTGCTCAACTCATGCACTAACTTCGAAGTGTGCTAGCCCGGCAATCTGGCTCTGGGTCTATTGAGGCAAGCCCTTTCTCTCACAGTGCGCAGGCGTCACAGAACGCTCAGGCACTGCAGGCACCCAACTGCTGCGCTCGGCGGTTTCAGGGCTTGCATGCACTCGGGCATGACATTATTTTCCAGTTCGAGCTCCTTTGCCGCGGCTGCGGCAGTCGCCGTTGCCCCGGCGGGCGGCTGCCAGGACAGGAAGGACCGCGCGGAGGGGGGAGGCCACATGTGCGTGGCGCACGCGTCGAACTGCAGCGAACCTCGCGGGAAGTGACATCTGGCGGGGCATTATCTTCGTGTACCGCGGCTGCGGCCTTAAACCCTTCTGAGAGAGCGAGAGGGCGGAGAGTCAGAGCATCGATGTCGGTAGACGCCTGGAAAATAAGCACGGGAAGCCTGGGCACAGGAGCAGTCGGGAGGCGGAGAGTCAGAAGATAGCGAGGTCGGCAGACACCTGGAAGATAGGTGACAGGGAGCCTGGGCACAGGAGAAGTCGGGAGGCGGCTCGCGGCGGCGAGCTCAGCGCACCTCGCGCTTGCACGGAAAGGATGCTGCTGCTGCTGCTGCTGCTGATGATGATGATGATGATGATGATGATGATGATGATGATGATGATGACGATGATGATGATGATGATGATGATGATGATGATGATGATGATGATGATGATGATGATGATCAGGAGGAGGAGGAGGAGGAGGAGAGGAGGAGGAGGGTGGTGGGGGAGGTGGTGGTGGTGGTGATGATGATGATGGTGATGGTGATGATGATGATGATGAGGAGGAGGAGGAGGAGGAGGAGGAGGAGGAGGAGGAGGGTGGTGCCGAAGCCGCCCCACGGCTCACGTTGTCCAGCTGCAGCGTGACTGTGCGCAGCCTGGCCTGAGCTCGCTCCCCATACAAGCTCGAGTCCTGGCCGGCTTTTTCCTGGCTCGGGCCTCCGGGCCCCTGGGGTAGACGAGACGGCTCCGCTCGCGTTGGAGCGGTCCGCGGGGTGCCGATGCCACCGCTCTGGCCCCCCTCCTGGGTCTCGCGCACGGGGATGTCCTTCACGACCTTCATATTTCAAGCGTGCAGGTCGAAGGAACAGATCCGCCGCACTTTCTCCTGCTTCTGATGGGGCTGCTTGTTCTTCTTGGCCTGGAAGTGGGTGATGCAGCTGCCCAGGATCGTCGAGTCCTCTTGCCAAACTACGGTCTTCCAGAACTCCTTCAGCACTGCCTTCTCCTCGGGCGTTACGAGTGAGGCCAGGTCCTTGGTCACTGCTGCGACGACGACGAGATGCGGCGGGCTCAGCGCTGCGGTGTCTACCTTGCTGTCCACCGCGTGCTGCTCTTTCAGCTCCTTGGCGTCCGCGTCGTACCGCTGTCCTGCTGTGGTTGCGGACGTGGCCAGGGGCTTCTCCGCGTTCAGCTCCGACGTCTCGTGCACGGTTGCCTGCATCTACTGCACGTCCTTGCTGATTGCCATCACCAGCTTCGCCGCGGTGGCTGCAATCTGCTCCAGGCGGTCGACGTCCTTGTTCTTGCCTTTGTTCGCGCCCTTACCCCTGTGCAGCGTGTGCAGCGGATCCTTCTCCGTCTCGGGCATGTTCTGCTTGCCCGTCCACTTGGGAGCTGTGGCGAACGCGCCGTTGTCGACTGCCATCACCTGCTGAGTGGTGGCCTCGGATATAAGCGCCATCAGGTCTTAGGACTCCGATTGGGAGCTCGAGCGGCTCGGCGGGCGCAGTCGGATCTGCTGGAGTCGGTGGCTGTAGTGTGGCTCGCGGAAAATGGTTACGACGGTGGAGGAAGAATTGTCGTTTGTCGGTGTTGGCATAGTCGCAAATCGCACATTTCGGGTCGAATGGTTCGGCTGGTTTCATAGTACGGCTCCTGCCCGCTGGGCATTGTCCACTAAGCAACGCCTTCATAAGGTGCCGTCCCGCCGTGCTCCTCTCCCCAAAAATCGTGCCACAGCCTATGCATTCGTTCTTCGGGGTGAGGAGGAAGGCGAGGTTGTCGAGTTCATGTTTACTTTGCGTGTGGGAAACCAGGGCCTTTCGAGAACCGAAGCATGATCCACACACGTCTCTGGCGCCCGAGGTGTCAGCATCCGTCGGCGCCGTCGTAGTCTCCACACCAATCTCGCACTTCCACGGGGCAATATTGGATATTACCGCCTCCTCCTCTGCTACATCTGCTGCTGCTACATGGGGGCCTGGGTGGAGACCTGGAGTTGGGATGTTTTTGGCTCGGTAAGCTTGGCGGAGCTCCGTGGGGTCCAGACTTTGAGGGCCTCCTGGAAATCGGGCTCGAAGAAATTGCCTCGCTCGATGTCGAAGTCTCCTAGGGTGCTCGCGAAGCTGTCCGTACGACAGGTCTCCTCTAGATCCTTAAGTATTCTGTTGGCCCAGTTGTTACACAATAGGTGGGCGTACCGTCGTCACAGACCGTCGGTTCGCTTTCAATCTCTAGCCGTCCGAAGATGGCTGTGAGGAGCTGTTGGTGTCGCATTGGGTCCATCTGTATCTTTCGGATCCACGTGAGTCGCCGCACGATCGCCTTCATCTGGAGGGGTAGTATTTGCCAGTGCCGAAGTACTTCATAACTAGTGAGACTCCTAACGTCGTCGTCGGGCAAGTGCGTAGTAGCCTGCCATCGCATTGCCTTTCTAGCCAAGCCTGCAACCGTCATCGTGTCCCGTATTCAACTTCGCCGGGTGAGAAACTCTCAATGCAGCTGAGCCCCGGATTCACTACCTTACACAAGGGAAGCCAACGTTTCCACTTGAAGGGGATCCCAGCCTTGTGCCAGAACCTTCCCATCTCCTTATACGCCCTGATCATAGCATGTATTCGCTCTTGTAGTTCTGCCCCTATACCTGTGTGCCGTATTCAGGTGCGGTCCCAAGTAGCGTGCCGCATGTACCGTGCGCCCAGGAAGTGCATGTTGTTTGGTTCTAAGCTGTCTGTACTGTGCCATCGAGCCCGCCCCCTGGATCCTGACCAAGTTCTCCTGCTTGTCCCTACTTCGTGACTCCAATTCTCTGGAGCCTCTCGACGAGCATCTCATCAGCCTGCCTCGCTTGCTGGGAGAGTCATCGGCGTACTTGAATAGGCCGAGGTCTTGAGGATTCTCGAAGAAGGGACAGCTCGCCTGCAGCAGCCGGTCCGCGGGCAGTCGCGTCACACAGTCTTGCTTCCACCGGTCCAGCGGGTGTGCGAACAGAGCCACAGCACTGCACACCAGAGATGGGTCTCCGTCCAGGCCGCCGCAGGCGGGGCGCATCATCACAGGATCTGGCTGGTCACGGCAAGGCACTGTGAACGCGCCACTCCTGGACTTCTGCTCTCCACACTCTCCGAAGCTCCCAGGGTAATGGTTCCTGCGTGGCCGCGTCCATACTGTGCCAGCGCCCACTCGCAAACGCATTTGACATCTTTCAGCACTACGGTGGAGGCCCATGCCAAGAAACACCCTGCTTGCCTCCAGGATGCCCTGGGTTTCTTGGGTTTCGATTGTTTTGCGATGGACAGCGTGACGTTCCCACACCAAAACTCAGTGGACGTCCGGGGGTCTCAGGGTTGGGTTTCTGGTGGAAGGTTTCTTGTGGATTGGCCTCCATTTTGCTGGATATGATGCCCCTACCCTCGACACCCGTTGCTGCACAATCAGGCTTGCCATCACTGCTCCCTCCCTCCGCCGTCCCTTCACGGACCCGCCATCCTTGCCCCTCCACGGCTGTGCCGCACCATCCTCCAGCTGTGCGGCAGCATCGCATGTTCCCAGGGGGCCCAGCACGTGGTGCACTCTTTTGCCCTTTTGGGGCCTGTTTTGCTACTTTTCTTTCGCACCGCCGTCGCCTCGCTGAGGTGCCAGTCTGATGGGGTTTTCTGCTGGATGCGGATCTGGCGGAAGGCCTGCTCGAGCCGGGTCCCGACGTTTCGTGTGAACACTTTGGGCCTCTCGGGTCCTGCTCCTCATCTGTCCTGGACCTATGGGGGCTTGGTCAGCATCATCCTCCACGCCTCTGCGGGTGCCGAGCCCCTTGTGTGTGCCCGCCGGAGCCCCGTCCTATAAAGCCTACGCGCCACTCGCTTCATGCCCAGTTGGGCCTGATCGATGGCCTCGTTGAGGGCCGTGAGGTCGAGGGGGTGAGTGGTGGCTCGGGGCTCCTCTCTCAGCTCCTCCCTCGTGGTCGGTCATGCCTCCATGCCTTCTTGTGTCCTCCTGGGAGACTCCAGAACTCCTCCCACTCTTCCCTGGTACAGTCACCCCGCACATCATGGATGGGCAACCTTCCCAAGGGTACCCTTGCATCCTTGCCTCCTCGGTCCATCCTTGGCCACTTTCGTTGGCCGCGCCCCGCTCGAAAAGCTTTGAAATGGGCGTCCAAGGCCCTTGCATACTTATCGTGCATCCTTATGATACGGGCCGACTGTGGGCATGCTGGTGACAGCGCTCCTGTAGGTCCGCCGTTGGGGGCCCATCTGCATGCTTGCCAGCCGCCCGCTCAGACGTCCCATCTCCGCCAAGTCCCTCCTGCTCACCCCTCACACAGCTCCTCCACCCTCTCCGCTCCCACCACGTTACATGTCTAATGTAGCCAGCCAATGCCGCCTGAGCCAGCCACTATACATAGGCATCCGCAGAGGGTGACTAGGCTACAAGCCTGCACGCTATCACCTCTTGCACAGCTGCCCCTCAACTACAAGTTGCCATCTCTGGTGGCATTACGGGGAGAGGCTTCAGGGTTGGCGGCGGGGGTGACCTGGCGGAGGGGAGGTATCTTCTGGTTCGATGTGGAGCTGCACGTTCTCCTGGCCCCCCTGGACACAAAGGACATGGCCTCGAGACGTCGCATCCTCGTAGTCGCCAAGCGTTTAAACAGCTGGACCAGCCATGCTGCTGCGCCTCCCTCCTCATGCGTGCACGCTTCTTGGTGAGCGTTTCGAGTCTGGCCTCCGTCTTCCACCTCTGCTGCTCGGTCCCCTCACCCTGCTGCCCCCTGAGGTCCCGTCGTGTCTCCAGCACTGCAAGTCGTTCCTGCTGGAGTCGGTAGTAGGTCGCACTACGGCTAGCGCCTTCACAGAAACGTATCACCGCTGCTCTATGCACGATCTCCGACAAGGCTCCGAGTGTGGCACTGCTGTCTCCATTGGCTCGGATCTCGTCCGGCTGCTCATCCCTCTTCGTGACCTCCTCCTCTACTTCCTGCTTCGGATGACCTCCAGGCGTCTGCCCATTGGGCACAGCGGTCCCGTCGTTCTGGTCTTTGCTCGCCACTCCTGTGGTAGTAAGGGGTCGTCGATCTGGGTCTTCTGTTTATCGCCGAAGACCGTGGGCCTCCAGTGGTCGGGCGTACGCGCTGCGTAGACGTGGTGACGTTCGGCAAGTTCTCGAACTCGCTGGCCCGCTCCTCCTGGGCGACGCTCGGGAGTACCGCCTGGCCCCACGGCCCAGCTGCGCCTAGATTCCACCATTGGGGCTCTGTCCCAAGCCGTCATCCATATCACCGCCTATGACGACTGCTGTGGTTGGGCCCGCTGCCGAGGCCTGTTGGCCAAGCCAGTCAGTCAGTGTCTTCACAGCTCACATATACTGCTGTCGTTCCGCTCCAGTCCGAGGTTGTGGGGGTAGTACACGCATCTGAACTATACACGTTGGCCTCCTAATTCAAGTGCAGCCGACATGTCCCTACCATGCAGTGCTTCTGGTGGTTCGGCCGTATCTACGAGTAACGCACGTTGCCATGTACCCCTCCAGACCATTATACACCCCGCCGACGTGTTGCTGTACGCCGCTCCGTCCCTCCACCCGCTGTCCACATACCTGCATCTGCCTCCCCCCTCGCTGGTGATGGTGCCCATGTGTTCCGAAGATCTTGGGGGCGGCTGCGGGCGGTGTCAGCAAGTCCTAACATATCGAAGTTGTGGTACTCAGCACAAATCTCGTGTAATATGTTGGCCGCGCAGTGCATCGGATTGTAAGTATGAGCTGCAAGATATGACATGGCCGAACCGCACTTGTGAGGTGTAGCGGCGCGGGCTGGTAAACATGTGACAAGGGAATTGTAAGCAAGTTCCCGAAGTCTATGGGGGGCCACCATCATCAAATTTTGACCTCGCGGTGGCTTATGATGAGGAGAAGGAGGAGGAGGAGGAGGCCGAGGGGAAGGCCGTGGGTTGAGACGGGTATATGTGAGTCCCGGTTTGTTACCATCCTGGGCATTTCGAGGTCAGTTTCGGGCCCTGGGGCCGTTGAGATTATTGGCCTGCCATCTCCCCCCCCTCCGCTTCTCTTCGAACCGCGCTGGACCGAAGAGGCGTGCAAGCGAGTCCCGACCTGCGTGAAGTCCAGATCTCCTTCTAGGTTTCGCCACGACCCCCCCCCCCTCCATGCAAGCAAACTTGCCGGGACCTGAAGAAACAGGCTCCAAGGAACGGCTCGGGATGCAAAGCTGGCCTAGGGAGGTCCGCTGGGTGCACTTCCTCCTCCTCCTCCTCCGCCATCCTACCGTGCCACTCTCCCGTCGCCTTTGGTTTTTGCATGCGTATACCTTTACCTCCTCTTTTCCTCCACGTGTCGCGAGTAACACTTTTAATGCACATATGACGGCCAGCCCGATCTGAACTAGGAGGTTGGGGGTGTATTGTTGAGAGTCACATGAGGTACACAGGCTGGCCGTGTGTAACCACCTGGCGGACGCCTACTTTTTTTGCTCTGCTTCGCCGTTCTGTTCAACCTTCTTTTTTCGCGGCGCCCGCCAGGTGAATTAGCAGTTCAGCACTTCGCCAAGTCGGTCTTTTTCCAACCCACGCACGCAACAGGCTTTACACCTAATGTGTGAGCAGCACAAAAGGGGAGGGACGAGGCGGGAGGCGGGAGGGAGGAGGGGATGGAGGGGATGGAGGGGACGGAGGAGGGGGAGGAGGAGGAGGAGGAGGAGGAGGAGGAGGAGGAGGAGGAGGAGGAGGAGGAGGAGGAGGAGGACGGCAGGGCAGGCTGTACCCGCAGCTCTACGAGGAGCGGCGCCCCCCCGCGGCCCCTCCGGCGGCCCTCCGCGGCGCCCCTCCGGCGGCCCTCTGCCGGACCCCGGCGGCCCTCCGGCGACTGTGCTCAAAGAACAAGCGCCACAAGCACAAGCTGTTGGCGCTCCGGGCGGATTTCTTGGATCCGCGCTGGGCCCCCCGGCGGCGGATCTGGAGGATCTCTGGGATTTTTGGGATTTCTGGGATTTTTGCGGGATTCTTGGATTTCGGCGCTCCGATCGGATTTCTGGGATTTCTTGGATCTGGCGGCGCCCCTGGCGCGCTCCGCGCGCCAGGGAGGGGGGCCCCGCGCAGATCCAAGAACTCCTCGCGGAGCGCTAAAAGTTTGTGTTTATGGCGTGGTTTTTCTTCTCCTACCTTCGGCGGCCCCCTGGCGGCTCTGCGAAAAGAAAAGAGGATGATGTGAGTTTCTGTGGGTTTTTGGCTCCGCAGGTCTCTCCAAGCTGCAGCGGGCTTTCTGCGGGTGCCCCGGGAACGTTCGATGGGGCTTGGATTGCAGCCCCCGTGCCATTAAACAGAAAGCACGGCTGCTTTACGATTCGAACCAGATCGCAGCTCCACGCGCATATACCAGCATAGTCACATTGCCGACGGGGGCATGCACGTGCAAGAGTCCTGCACCCTGGATGAGCTTAAACACTAAAACGCAGCTGGAGCAAACGATGGCATCAACGCCTTTCAAGATGCCTAAACATAGCAGGTGTGTGCTAGAACTTAGCTCGATATGCATATGCAGCACGGGATCATGTGCAAGGACACGGTACACTGCAGCAATCGTTGTAGTCAGTTGCGTGTGTGTGTGTGTCTCTCGATTGATATGACTCAGCCACCAGACGCAAAGACGGCAGCGTCGCCGGGGGACGTATACATGGGTCAGTGGCGAGCAGGTGCAGTTGAGGCGAGGTTGGAGTTCTCGGAGAGCTGGCGCAGCCGTCATAGTCATCGTTGTCAGTGTCTCCATTGTTGACGTCATTCTCGCCGCCACTGTCGACCTTATTGCTGCTGTGCGTGTCTTCTGCTTTCCTGTGGGTGCAGTTGTCATTTTGCTCCTAATCATTCTGTGGTGCTGGGTCCTCGTCTTGAAGAGAGCGCCCCGCATCCCTCACTCCTCCTCCCCCTCCTCCCTCCTCCCTGCGTTTCACCCACCCAGTACAGCGTTTCGTGGCCCCATAGGGAGCTCCACCGAAGGCCCCAGTGCCACCGCCCGCATGCTTTAACTATCGGCACAACCCTCACAAGTTTCGTGGCCCCATAGGGAGCTCCGCCGAAGGCCCTAGTGCCACCGCCCGCATGCGTCACGCACACCCATTTCGGCACACCTCTCACACGTTTCGTGGCCCCACAGGGTTCTCCACCGAAGGCCCCAGTGCCACCGCCCGCGTGCGTCACGCAAACCCATTTTGGCACGCCCCTCACGCGCTTCGTGGCCCCACAGGGAGCTCCACCGAAGGCCCTAGTGCCACCGCCCGCATGCGTCACGCACACCCACGTCGGCACACCTCTCACACGTTTCGTGGCCTCATAGGGATCTCCGCCGAAGGCCCTAGTGCCACCGCCACACCCCTCACACGTTTCGTGGCCCCACTGGGAGCTCCACCGAAGGCGCCATTGGCTGCGTTCGCATGCGGCCACTGGTCCCATTTTGGCACACCCATCACACGTTTCGCGGCGCCATAGGTAGCTCCACCGAGGGCCCCAATGGCTGCGTTCGCATGCGCCCACCGCATTTATTTCGGCACACCGCTCATGCGTTTCGTGGCACCATTTGGAATTCCACCGACAGCCCGAGTGGCTGCCTTCGCATGGGCCCACCGGACAATTTTTGGCACATCCTTCACACACACGCACGTTTCTTTGCCCTACAGGGAGCTCCTCCGAATGTGGTGCATACAACGACGGTGCTCACAACTGCATATGGTTGGGTCCTTCACCAGGCTAATTTTTCCTCGTCCATTTTCCGTCGCTCAGATCGCCGCCTCTCTATCATGTGCTTTCGTCCCTTGCTACCGTTCTCGGTATTGCCCTGGTCGAGGTCGTCGTCCTGTTCCTAGACGTGCAATAATCATCGTCGCCGTCGTTGTTTCCGCGGTCGTGGTCGTCGGTGTTTTTTTTTATTTGCGGTCATAATTTCGCGGTTGTAGTCGTCGTCTGCTTTGAAGCATTCAATTTTCGCAGCTTTGCTGTGGTGTGGCGGTGTGCGGTGATTGGTATCGTGCTTCAACGTGGTGGCGTGGTGTGTTCTCGTGTGTCATGGCGCAGTGTTTTCATACAGTGCAGCGTGGTATGGCGATGTGGCTCGGAATGGTCCGTTGCGCGTATGTGGTATATCCATGCAGTCCTGGTCGGCATTGCTGCGCTCATGGGGTGTCGCACGCCCCGTCATTCGCCTTGCTCTTGCCCGGACTTCCTCTCTCTCTCTCTCTCTCTCTCTTCGCCCCTCTTCGCTTTGCCCCCTAGCAGAGCCCCCCGTCGCTTGGCCCTCGCCCCCTCGCCCCCGGACCTCCGACGCACTGCTCTTCGCCAGCCCGCGGGCCCCAGAGGAGGAGGAGGAGGAGGAGGAGGAGGAGGAGGAGGAGGAGGAGGAGGAGGAGGAGGAGGAGGGCTCGACCCCCTCCCCAGGGCCAGCCTGTCCTCCCGCGTGTAAAGTTCTGATGGTCCGGGGGGGCCCGACGCCCGTCAAGTTGCCCCCCCCTCCCTTCGTCGGTGAACCGCCGAGAGCCTTGCCAGACCAGTGTCAGGAGGAAAAGAAGCACACAGATGCAAATCAGCGTCGATCCCCAGGAAAATATGGAAAGCATGGGAATTGGAGGCGAAGACGAGAACCCAGACAAAAATAAGAAAACGATGGGGAATCTGGGGGCTCGTGTCTATTTATTGGTGTGTCCGCCAGAGGTCTGGGCCCAGAGATCAGATGTCGTGATTTTTCAGTAATGCGGGGTCCCCAGAAGTCTCGACCTACTCTTCGGGACCAGATTTTCATCCTGGGTCGTTCTTTGACGGTCCCGGGGCCAGCGAGGGCCCCCCCTGAGGCCGAAAGTCGCGAGAAACCTCCGCCTGGATTCTTCAATGCGTTGGACCTCTGGGGGCCCGTCGCCGTGTAGCCATGTTGGCCCGAGCCGTGGCCCCCGCCTGAGGCTGCGCGGCGGCGTCCGGCGTCGCACCGCGGGGCCGAGGGGGCCGCCGCGGTCTGCGGCGGCTGTCGCGGGGGTTCCCCGAGGCGTCTCGCCAGGGGGGCTGCGGGAGGCGGGCGCTCAGAGGAGGTATAAAAAGGTACTCTGGGTGGGATATTGATCAAGGGGGTGGGCGACTCATCTTCCGGCGGAGGAAGTCGCGCCAGGCCTGCCCAGGCCACTGCGCGAGTTTGGCTGCCTTTTTCCGAAGACAGTAAAGGGCACAACATTTTCGTTTTCGACCGCTTAGATTCCGAGAGCTGTGTTCTTGCCTGTTGGTCTTGCGGCGCTTACAGCGAATTCTGTCCCACAGCATTCAAGAAGGAGTGCAATGGGGCCCCCACCAGCAGTAACAAGAAATATGCATTAAACTGCTTTAAGACCTTCCGCCACCCCAAGGGAGGCATGAAAAGCAGGCCGTGTTTTGCAACCCCAGTAACCCTTGATTCAATGATCAGGGAAGTGCAGCACGCGCCTGGGTAGTACAGCAGAGATCAGACAGACCTCATTCAGTCAGATGCGCTGGTCCTCCTCCTCCTTCAACCCCCGCTCCACCCGTTCTGACTGCACGTGCCCGACCCCCCAGGGGGGGGGGGGGGCGATTATTGCCCCATCCAGAGTACCCACCCAGAGATCCAACGTATTGAAAAAATCAAGGCGGGTTTTTTTCGCCATTTTCGGCCCCTTGGGGCCCTCGCTGGGCCCCATGACCATCAAAAAACGAGTCAGGGTGAAAGCAAAACGGAGACTTCCTGGGACCCCTTACGGGAAAATCACGACATCGGATCTCTTGGTGCCCATAGCTCTACCCTTCGCCCGTTGTCCCCTGTTTGGCCCTCCTGCCAGGCCCTCGTCGCCACCGCTGGATTCGCCTCGAAATTCTCCTGGTCAGAACGCACCCTTGGGGGGGCTCCCTCTCCTCCTCCTCCTCCTCCTCCTCCTCCTCCTCCTCCTCCTCCTCCTCCTCCTCCTCCTCCTCCTCCTCCTCCTCCTCCTCCTCCTCCTCCTCCTCCTCCTGAGGTCTGGGGAGTAGCGGTATCGGTGCCTTTGGGTTTCCCCAGGCGCGGTTCCGTGAGCAGCGGGGGGCACCCGGCCTTCAGGCCCTCGCCGCGGCCGGGCGAGCTGCGCTGCCGCGCGGCGGCCGCGGGGGATGAGCGCGCGGGGCTGCTGGGGCCTCCCGGCCGTGCTGCTGGGGCTCGCGGCCTTGTCGCTGCTGCTGCTGCAGTACCAGCAGAGGCCTGCTGCTCCCTCGTCGTCCCTCCTGGCGCCCCGCCGTCCCCTGGCGTTCCTCGGCTCCCTCGTCCTCCCTCCGTCTTCTCGCCCCCCTCTTCCTGCCGGCACTGCTGCAGTGCCAGCAGAGGATCCACGAGCTCGCCGCGATCTCCAGCGGGTTCGGCGGCGACTGCCGGGGCAACGCCACCTACGTGGCCCTGCTGGAAGCCAAGGTGGCGGCGCTCACCGCTGACCTGGCCGCCGAGCGGGCCAGGGCGCCAAGCAGCGCGGGGGACTCGGGCGTGGCTGGCCCCAGGGTGTGGCCCACCAGTGCGGACAACAGCTTGTTTGTCGACAAGGACGACGTGGTCGACATTGCCAAGTTTGACAAGAAAGGTCGGCCACGCGCAGAGGGGGTAAGGGGAAGTGGGGAAGGCTTCTTAGAAGCACCCCTGTTTCTTAGATGCGCTGGGCCTTGCCTGTAGATGTAAGGCCTGCGCCCTCTAAGAAGCAGTCTCCTTCTAAGAAGCCTTCCCCCCTCCCCCTATCCCCCTGTCCGCGCCGCCAACAAGGGGGGCCCCAGCAAGCGGGCAAACGCCTTTCAGTCGATGACGTGCTGTTCGGTTACGACCTGCTGTACCAGAAGCGCAAGCTCTTCGATGTGCAGAGATGGAAGGGCATGGTCATGCAGCAGGATCCAAATGACGCTTTTGCAATTCAAGACTTTTTATGGAATGAGCGGCCTGACCTCATGATTGAGTTTGGCACAAACACGGGTGGCGGCGCTGTATTTTGGGCAGAAATCATGACGGAATACAATCCCGATGCTCACATCATCACATTGGACATTGCAAATCGCATCAATAAATCTTTCGCTGGCGCAAAGGGGAAAGTCAAGGCGTCTGACAGTCGCCACTGGGGAACAACCATACGTCCAATCATTGGCAACCCAGATACGCAGGATGTACAGGACAAAGTTGAGGAGTTGATCAGACAGTTTGGCGCCACGAACGTTTTCCTCAACGAAGATTCCCTCCACAGCTTTGATGTTACGCTGGCCCATCTCAACCGCTATCATCATTTGACCAAGGCCTGTGGGTGGATATTGGTGCAGGACACGAAGATGTCTCGCTTCACTGGGCGCGACGGGCCGGTTGAAGCAGTCCGAGAGTTCATCGGCAAGAATACAGAGTACCGCGTCGATAGAAGATGGGAGTATTTATTGTACACGCAGCACGCCCAAGGTTGGCTGCAAAAGGGCCAGAAGTGTGGCAAGCGATAGGCCTGATCCTTCTCTCGCGGTCTTCTGGCACCGCACACTGTGTCCTTGCTGGCGCCCGTCACCGTCTTCATCAGCATCATCTTGTTATTGCATGTGGGCGGCTCTGCTGCAATCGAGCCTCGTATTTCCCTCATGTTCCCTACGCTTCTGTGCCTGATCTTATCGTTGCTGCGGTGTTCAGCGCTCTCGGCGCTTCATCCTTGCAATGTCTCCAGCGTCGCATCGTCGTCAACGCATTTCTTGTGTCTGGTTCGGTTGCTTAAGCTGCATTTCTTGTGAGGGTCATGTTGGGCCCGCTGCTACTGCTCTTTGCACTCTGTGCCCTCTGACATCGTTCCTTGAGCTCCTCGTCTTTTTCGTCTTTTACCCCGTCGATCCCCCCTTTCTCCCTCCCTCCATCTCGCGCCCTTACTTCCACCCTCCTCCATCCCTCCTGGTTTTCTTGTTTTTCCCTCCAACCAGTGCTTGCATGTTGGACTTGTTGATTGGGTTGAGAAGTCATTGGGTGGGTCCGTCGGGGTTTCGCCTGGTGGGCGCACGTGGGCGCCCCGTGGGAGCCCCGCGCGCTGGCTGGATCCGCGGAGGTTTCTGCCTCTGGCTGTCAGTGTCTCGATGTCTTGCTCACTCGTCGCAACGCATCGCAGTCACGCTGTTCCCCCTTTCGCTCGACAGCGTGATTCGATTGGCAGTCTGAGTTGAGGGTGTGTGCGACCCGCGCAGCGCAAAAGCAGACGCGTCGGCGCCAAATCTACCCACTCACCAGAGTGCGACACGATGCGAGCGGTGCGACGAAGCGCGACGAAAAGACAACAGATGGGTGGTAAGCGGGTGCCGGAGGATGAGTGGATCCACCTTGGTCGTTTTGTTCCCCCCCGCTCGTCTCTTATAGCCGCCCAGCCCCGCCATAGCCAATCTCCCCCTTTTCCAATGCGTCCCTTTTCTCCCCCCCCGCCTGCAGCACGCTTTCCGTAGTCGTTTTGAGTCAAGGATCGAGCAGTTTTGGCTCAACCGATATGTGATCAAGATTAGGGCCCGCAGTGAACAGACAGAGCTTTGTTCCTGATGGCCTCAATATCCGCCACCATCGCTGCGCTGCTCCCTTCGATCGCGGCGTGGAGCGATTTGACACCGTCACCGCAATGCCAGGCCCAGATGGACACCTGGTGCAACAATGTGGACCACTGTGCAAAGGTCGGAATAGGAGGAGAACCGTATTTCGCCCGGCTTGACATGGATGGGAAGGATGCAGGGAAGGAATGGCGCTGCTATCCTGCCTCCACTCTGAACCTTGATCACAGCTACTACGTTGGTCCAGGTATTGAATGGGAAAGCGGCATCTGCAGCCGAGACGCACAGTTGCGAGCTGTACTGGCGGCATGCTCAGCTGACATATTTGTGACCACCGTCTTCAAAGGTGGCACTGAGGGCTGCGTGATGTACCGTACGCCCTCCTTGGTGCGTGTTGAGAACGGCACCCTCTTGGCATTCACACAATGCAGACAGCAGAGCCACGGTGACACGAGCCCGCAATCTCTCCACTTGAAGCGATCGCACGACAATGGTCAGACTTGGGGGCCCACCACGATCTTGCCATTCGCAGCCAACGAGGACTTCTCGCAGCAGCATCGTGCAAGCACGCTCTATGACACGACGACCGGTACTATCTTCCTTTTCGACGACGCCCGACCCATCGGCTCCTCGGACACCTGCGAAGTCCAGATCTGGCGCACGGAGGACCTGGGCGAGACCTGGGCATCGGTCCAGAACCTCACCGACGACGCGGCAAATCTCACCGGCAGCGCGCTGGCCACCGGGATCCGGCTGCCGAGCGGCAAGCTCCTGATCTGCATGCGCGCGGGCTGCAACGGGAGGGAGAGCCCGAACGGTGACTGATGGGGCAATCCTCCACCACCACTACCATGGGCAGGACGCGGGAGACGGGAGATTGGGGAGGTCCTCCTCCTCCTCCTCCTCCTCCTCCTCCTCCTCCTCCTCCTCCTCTCCCTCCTGCATATGGTAGTGGTGGTGGAAAATCGGCCCACCAGGCGACCACGCGCTCTGGAGCGAGGACGGGGGGGTCACCTGGACCGCGGGAGGACGGATGTCCGATGACGGGCGAGATGCATCACCGTGTCCACTGCAGCTTGGAATTTCGGGGTCCCCCAGAACTCCGAGAGGCCCTGGATGTGGATGAAAACCATCGGCTCCTTGAGGCTCGTCCTTTCTATCACTATCCAGGGCGGCCCAGCCTCCTGTCGCTTTTTCCAGGAGGTTCTTGAATCGTACTGTATGTGGACTTGCATCCTGCCCGTGCCGATGGCACCAACGAGTGCCAGATTGCACGGCTGGCCAACGGCAGCCTCCTCGCCATCAGCCGCTCCTCCGCGTGGGCGCCCTCGAAGCTCGCCTCACTCTCCCCCGACGCGGGCCGCTCCTGGAGCGCGGCGCGGGTGGTGCCGCAGCTCTCGGGCTACGCCGTGGCGTTCTCCTCGCTCCTGGGCTGCGGGGTGGGGGGCAGCGATCAGAGGAGGACAAGGCAGTTCTACCGCCACCGCTTTCCGCTTTTTGGGCCTCCTGGGAGGCCCTCGTCGCCACCGCTGGGATCGCCTCGAAAGCCTGGTTCGACGGCGCCCCTGGAGAGAACCGTGGAGTAGCGGTATCGGTACCCTCTTGGTGTTCCCAAACGACGGGGGACCGGCTGAACTGGGGGAAACATCGACCTGGAACCGGCGGTGCAGCGCCCCTGTGGAGCGGCGATAGGCCCTCGGTGGCGAGTCCGCGCCTTCCCGGGCGGGGTGGGCTATCGGGCCCCCGTGGGCGACTGGTGTGCGAAGCGGCGGTCCCCCACCCTCGGGGCGTTTGCAGTCACGGACTCCGAGACCGTGGCAAGCTCGTCCAGCGCTCCCGGCATCGTCCTGGCGCTACCCCTTCTGAGCCCAATGCAGCACTGGGGCAGGCTTGGCCATGCCATCTTTCTTTTCAGCCCCCCGTCTCTCTCATTGCATGGGCTCGTTCCTTCGAGTGCCACGGATCACGCCGGGGGGATCGATACATTTTGACCAAGGTTCATGGGCGACGGGGGGGCGGTGCCTCCCCCCCGTGAGTCTATTACCCCCCTCCCGCCCTGGCGTTGCCCCCCGAGGCTGGGGCGCAGACCTCTTCCTCTCGCACCCCGAGGCCGCAGGCCGCAGCAACCTCACCGTGCGGCGCTCGCGGGACGGCGGCGAGACCTGGCCCGAGGGCGACGCCGTGCAGATCTGGGAGGGGCCCAGCGCCTACAGCTGCCTCGGCTCCACCGCGGACGGCGCGCTGGCCGTGCTCTGGGAGAAGGTCGGGGGCAGGGCTAGGCTAGGATATCCAGAGGCCTCCCGAGGATGGCGCCGCATCGCCGGTGCATCGCCGGTGCATCGCCGGTGCATCGCCGATGCGGCTCGATGCGGAGCCCGATTTTCTCCGCGTAGATGTCGCCAGTGCATCGCCAATGCATCGCCGATGGCGACGATGCATCGCCGATGCGTCGGCCATGCGGCGTGATCTTCCGACCCCATCTACTCGTACCTCATGAAGGAGGACTCTAGGACGGGCTCAGGGGGGACAGACTCAGGGGTTCGAGCTCGAGGTTTTTCTGGCGTGTTTGTGGGTTCTCGGCGGCTTTTAGCCTCGGGATGCCTTTATCTGCTGCGCCTCGCCGAGAGCGTTCGAGGGGTGCCGGGATCGTCTCGAGCAGCCGCCAGAGTTTTCTTGTCATGGCCAGACAACGAGAAGGGGGAACGTCAGGGGGGAGGGCTCAGGGGTGGTGGGACGCATCGACCCCCAATCGCCCATTGATCGCCGATAGGGGCCCGATAGCCCGCCCCGCCCAGGACCGCGCGGATTCACTATCGGGGGCCATCGCTGATCCATCAGCGATGCATCGCCGATTGTATGTTTCTTTCCCCCTGAGCCGGTCCCTTCCTGCCTTGAGCGCGTCCAGGACGGCCAGAGAGGCGCCCAAGCTCGCCCCAGGAGCTCCCAAGAGGGGCCGAGGAGGCCTCCCAGACGGCTCCGAGGAGGCGGCCACGGGGGGGCCGAGGAAGGGGCGACGCTGGAAGGGGGACCCCTTCCCTCCAAGACGGTCCCCAAGACCTTCGCCGTGACTTCTCAAGAGGCCCCCAGCAGGCCTCCTATCGTTGCCCCTCAGAAGGACGGCGCGGACCTCGGCTTCGCGAAGACGTTCTCCTTCGCCAGTGCTCCGGAGGCGGTGGTCTGACCTCGGCCGCTCGGGCGGGGCGCAGGCGCTGGCATCGGCCATGCCCCGCGGCACATTGTGCACCCTGTGCGCCTCCTGTAGCACTCTCTCCTCCTCCTCCTCCTCCTCCTCCTCCTCCTCCTCCTGCTGCTCCTCCTCCGCATCATCATGTCCTGTCCGATCCAGTTCTACCCGATCTCATTCCATCCTATCCTTGCCTATCCTGTCCAATCCTGCGCTGTGAACAGATGTGCTTCCATCATGCAGTATCCTTTCCTATCGTATCGTATCCTGTCCTCTCCTCCTCCCCGCCTCGTCCTCTTCTGCTTCCTTCTCGTCCACCTTCGAATTCGCTTCCTCCTCCTCCGCTCCCCTCCATCCCCTCCCATCTCCTGTGCTCTTTGTCCCTCCACCCTATCCATTAACTCGCCGAGGGGTTCCCGTTGTGTATCCCTGGGGTCTTAGGGTGTACACCGAATTGCCAGCAGGGCGCCACAGAACTCCCACAGAACTCGGCGGAGAAGAGCATCTCGGCCCATCTGGCGGTCCAAAGTCCTTCCATGATCGACAAGATGGCCCCAAGACCCAAGACGGCTCCAAGAACCGAAGGTGAGCCCACGATGCTTTCAAGATAGCCGAAGGGGCTTCAATAATCTTCCAGGAGAGCCCGCTAGAGGGCCATGCTCTTTTAGGCGCCGTGCTTGGTGAGACAGTTGTTCGCGCTCAGCGTTCGAAGACCCCCAAACAATTCGACGTCGTTGTCATCGTCGACACTCACACCAGCGCCGAGGATAAACTTCTTGTCCTGCTCGGGTTGCTGCTCCTGCTGCTGCTGCTGCGGGGCCTGCTGTTGCCGTGGGACCTGCCACATCTGAGGAGGCGCCCACATCTGAGGCGGCGCCCACATCTCCGAGGAGGCTAGCGCCACCCTCTGCTCGCCAGGAAAAAAGGCAAAGGCAGGATGGTCGGAAGAAGGCATGAAGGGGCCAGGGAGGCTTTGCAGCCAAAATGGCAATGGGAGGAAGGATGGAAGAATAAGAGGATTGAAGGATGAGTGAAGGGAGAGATGCTACAACTTATTGTTGATGGAAGGATGTATGGGTGGATGGGTGGATGGGTGGATGAAGGGAATCAGGCGGCGGTGCACATGCAATGGATGGATGGGTGGGTGGGTAGATGGACGAACGGGTTGACGAATGACCATGCGCAATTCGATGATTTACCATCAGCGTTTCCAAATGAAAAAAGGTTACTGGTCTAACCCCCCCTGGTCTAACCCCCCCCCGGAGTTTTCGGGGCGAAGGCCTCCGAGGGCCTCAAGAGAACCTCAATGAGGCCCCACGAGGTCCCCAGGATGACGCACGAACGGCCGACGACGGCCCCGACGTTGCTCAAAGGGTCAACAAGGGGCCATGCGAGGGCCCCGAGATGCCCCAGGAGGGCCCCGATACGTTCCCAAGTGTCCCCAGGTCCTTCAGTGATCCTTTAAGATGGTCCCAGAGTGCCCCCCGAGGTGGCCTCTGAGGTTGGGGCGCGGCTACAGTGAAGAAACACCCTGCTTGCCTCCAGGGTGCCCTGGTTTTCTTGGGTTTCGGCGGTTTTGCCGTAAGAAGCGTGACGTTCCCGCGCCACAAATCAGTGGGCGTCCTGGGGTCTCAGGGTTGGGTTTCTGGTGGAAGGTTTCTTGTGGTCGGGCCTCTACTGTGTGGAGGAGAACGTCCGCCAGGAGAAGAACAGGGGCAGCGGGGCAGCCTGTCGGCCCAGACATCCGACGATGTGACCTTTTCAATCCGCGGCATCCGGACCACTTTCCCGGGGACCGTTTTTCGTCCCGGGTCGAATTTTCTCCCGGAAGGTTGAAGCAGAAAAAGAGAACGCACACACAGACAAACGCGGACAGACACAAACAAACACAGGCAGACACAGACAGACACAGAAACACACAGAGACACAGACTCACAGACACACAGACACACAGACACATTGACACACGCATTCGCGCGCGCAGGCGCACGCGCGCACGCACGCGCACACGCACGCACGCACGCACACTCGCACACGCGCACACGCGCACACACGCGCACACGCACACAAGCACGCACGCACACACGCACGCATGCACACATGCACACACGCACCCACGCATATACGCTTACACGCACACACGCACACACGCACACACGCACACACGCACACACGCACACACGCACACACGCGCACACGCGCACACGCACGCACACACGCACACGCACACACACACACACACGCACACACGCACACTCACACACACACACGCACGCACGCACGCGCGCACACATGCACACACGCACACGCGCACACACGCACACACTCTCACACGCACCCGCACACCCACACACCCGCACACCCGCACACCCACCCGCATAGTCACACACGCATGCGCACACCCATACACACATCCATACATATACACTCACGCGCACGCAAACACAACACACAACACACAGCACACAACACAACACCCACCACGCAACACGCAACACACAACACGCAACACGCAACACAACACAACACACAGCACCCGAATCACAACGAAGACAGCACACAACACGCAACACAGAACATACACAACACACAAGACGCACAACATACAACACACAACACACAACCCACACCACACAACACACAGCACACATCACACAACACACCCACAACACACAGCATTCCACACAGAACACACAACACACAAAACTTAACACAACACACAGCACACAACACACAGCACACAACACTCACACACACACCGCACGCCACACAACACACACGGTACACACGACACACACAACACAGACACAACACACAACACACACAACACACAACTCACATAACACACAACACACAACGCAAAGCAAACAACACACAACACACAACACACACAACACAGCACACAGCACACAAAACGCACAACACACAACACGCAACACACAACATACACAACACACATAACACACAGCACACATAGCACACACAACACACAACACACACAGCACACAACCCGCAACACACAAGACACCCAACACACAACGCACACAGCACAACACACACATTGCACGCAACGCGCACAACACGCAACACACAACACGCATTCACCACACACAACACACATCCTGGCTCGAGCAATTCAGGCTCGAGCCATTTTGGTTCAAGTGGCGGTGCCATGTCTTTCGGGATAGTCTCAGGAAGGCGTTCTCTCCCTCGAAGCGTCGATCAAGAACTGTGGCCTGACAAAGCAATGGAGCGCCGCACTGGGATTGCTGCGCGAAGGAACACAATAGGGTGTGCAACTCGTCCCAAGCCGTTACGTTGCGACTGTCCGCGCGTGCAGGAAAGGCGGGCAGTGGCAACACGCGTTGTCAGTGCTCAGTGAGATGTGGGAGGCGAAGATAAAGCCCAACATCATCTGTACTACAATTTTGATCGTTGCGCGTGCGAAAGGGGCGACAAGGCCGCGAGCTGTCCCCAAGCGCCCGAAGCGCCCCGGCACTGTCCGACGGCTCCAGAGAGCCCCTCGGTGTCCCCTAGACGGCCTCTGACAGCCCCAAGCCAGCTCTGAGACGCTCCAGAGCGCGCGAGGACGGCCCAAGAAAACCCGAACGGAGCCCCGTGACAGCCCAAGACGGCCCGACGACTAGCCAGGTGCCTTCGAAAACGGCTGAACCAGACCCCGACGACGGTCCCCCGAGGCCAAAATCATAGACACTCCTGAGGTATTCTCGCCATTTCGGACGAAGAACCGCCCCAGACGGCCCCAGGTGATGCCCAACAGGTCCCAAAGGGGGTTCCAAGACAGCCCGAGAAAGCCAACATCGCCCCAGGACAGCCCGAGGGTCCCCCGAGACGGCTCAGGAGATCCCCCAAATGGCCCAAGAGGGCCCTAAGAGCTGCCGAAGATAGTTCGAGCGGGCTCCCAAACGGCGCGAACCATCTAACATGGCCTCCAGACGTCCTAAGACTCCCAACATCAACAGCCCTCCCAGATGGCCCCAGGGCGTGCCTACAAGCCCCTACGACGGCCCAAGAGAGCTCCAAAGTGGCCCAAGAAACGCCACGGAGGCTGACCCCCAAGAGGCCTCCAAGAGGGTCCGAAGATCGTCCAGACGACCGGTCTCCCGCAGTCCTCAATTGGCCAAAAACCTTCCCAGGACCACGCCTTCCCAGGACCACTCAGATGCCCCAGAGTCTCCCAAGAGACTCCGACACTTGCCAAGGAGCCTTAAGCAGAGCGCCATCGGCCACGGCACCCATTTGCCGTCTCTGGAACCCCAGGAGCCTGGCCATCCCAAGATATTCCGATAGTTCCGACGGAGGACGATGATGATGATGATGATGATGATGATGATGATGATGATGATGATGATGATGATGATGATGATGATGATACAGTCTCCCAAGAGTGAACAGTGCCACGAGCCATCTCGACCTTGTTCCTGACTCCGTACCCGGGTTCCGCATTGGGCCATTTGCTTCCCTGACGTTTGCTTGGCGCTCCCTGCGGGACTTGGCCCAAAAACCATTTTACTTTTGGTCGGTCACGAGCCCTCTCCGGGGCCTCTTGGGGCCCTGACGTGTTTCGCTGTTGCAGCCCCCCTGGGGGCCTATTGAGCCATTCTGGGGCCATCTTCGAGCCGTCTCGGGCGATCTTGGGGCGACCTTAGGGCCTTCTCGGGCCGTATTCGGCCGACGCTCCCAATGATGTGACGACGATGATCATGGTAATGGTGGTAATCATGTTGACCATGATAAAGATAATAGTGGTGATGAGGATGATGACGACCACGACGACGACGACGACGACGACGACGACGACGACGACGACGACGACGACGATGATGATGATGATGATGATGATGATGATGATGATGATGATGATGGTGCTGATGATGATGCTGATGATGACGATGACGCTCATGACGCTGAAGATGATGATGCGGCGGATGATGATTTCGTGGACGGAGTCCACGGGTCAGACTCTTTCGCGCGCTCTTTCACTCACACACCCACTCGCTTATACACTCACACACTCACACACGGACGCACGCATACAGACACAGACACGCACACACAGAGACACACAGACACACAGACACACACAGACACACACACACACACACACGCACACGTACACGCAGACACGCACACACACAGACAGACACGCACACACAGGCACATACACAGACACAAACACAGACACAGACGCAGACACTGACACAGACACAGACACAGACACAGACACACTCACACACACAGACACACGCGCACGCACTTTTTTTTCGGCGGCGGCTGGGCAGAGGGCGACTGCTCCAGCGGGAAGCCACACACACACACACGCACGCACGCACACAGACACGGACACAGACACTGACAGACGCAGACTCAGACACAGACGCAGACACAGGCATAGACACAGACACAGACCCCGACACAGACACAGACACAGACACAGACACGGAAACAGACACAGACACAGACACACACCCGCACCCGCACACGCACACGCACACGCGCACGCACGCACACACGCACTCGCACACGCAGAAGCATGCGCACACGCACACGCACACGCACACGCACGCACGCACACGCACACGCACACGCACATTCACACGCGCACGCACACGCACACGCAAACGCATACGCATACGCACGCGCACACGCACACGCACGCGCATACTCGCACGCACGCGCAAACGCACACGCACACACTTACGCACACACACAAACACCCACACACCCACACACGCACCGACACACACATACACACACGCACACGTACACGCACACGCTAACGCACACGCACACGCACACGCACACGCACGCGCACACGCACACGCACACGCACACACACAAACACACCTACACGCGCACGCACACACGCACACGCACGAAACCGCACGCGCACACGCAGACGGACACGCACACGCACACGCGCAAGCACCCGCGCACGCACACGCATACGCACACGCACGCGCACATACACGCACACGCACACGCATACGCACGCGCACACGCTCGCGCACATACACACACCCATGCGCACACCCATGCGCACACACTCACATACACACACCTACGCATACACGCACACACACACACACACACCCCTACACGAACACGCACACGCAGGCGCACACGCACGCGCACGCGCACACGCACACGCACACGCACACGCGCACGAACACGCGCAAGCACACGCACGCGTACACGCACACGCGCACATTGGCGCACACGCACACGCACATGCACATGCACACGCGCATACACACACACGCACGCGCACACGCACACGCGCACGCACACGTACACGCACACGCTCAAGCACCCGCGCACGCTCACGCACGCACGCGCAAGCGCACACACGCACACACGCACACGTTCACGCACACACACACACACACGCACCCGCACACGAGCACGCACACGCACACGCACACGCACATGCACATGCACACGCACGCGCGCACGCACACGCACACGCATGCGCGCACGCGCACACGCACACGCATGCGCACGCACACGCACACGACACACCTACGAATTCGCGTACGCACGCGGACACGCGGACACGCACACGCACACGCACACGCACACGCACGCGCAAATGCACACGCACATGCGCACTCATGCGCACACGATGCTCACGCACGCACACACGCACACATACCTACACGCATGCGCAGCACACGCACACGCACACGAGCACGCACACGCACACGCACATGAGCACGCACACGCACACGCACATGCACACGCACACGCACACGCGTACGACTCAGCACGCACACGCACACGCACACGCGCACGCACGCGCACACGCACACGCACACTCACATGCACATGCACACGCACACGCACACGCACACCCACACGCACACACACACCTACACGCGCACGCAGACGCACACGCACACGCGCACGCACCTACACGCACACGCGCACGCACACGCAGGCGCACGCACACGCAGGCGCACACGCACACGCACTCGCGCATACACATGCACGCGCACACGCACACGCGCACGGACATGCACATGCACACGCACGCGTCCACGTACACGCGCACATTCGCGTACACGCACACACAGGCATACGCACACACAGACACACACGCACACGCGCACGCGCACGCACACGCAGGCGTACACGCACACGCACACGCGCACGCACATGCACACGCACACGCACAGGCACACGCCACCGCACACGCACGCGCACGCGCACACACTCACACGCATCCGCTCACGCACACGCACACACACGCACGCACACGCACACGCACACGCCACACGCACACGCCACGCACACGCACCACGCACACGCACAACACACGCACACGCACACACACACACGCACACGCACACAGCACACACACGCACACACACACTTACACACACACACTTACACACACTTACACACACTTACACACACTTACACACACTTACACACACTTACACACACTTACACACACTTACACACACTTACACACACTTACACACACTTACACACACACTTACACACACTTACACACACTTACACACACTTACACACACTTACACACACTTACACACACTTACACACACTTACACACACTTACACACACTTACACACACTTACACACACTTACACACACTTACACACACTTACACACACTTACACACACTTACACACACTTACACACACTTACACACACTTACACACACTTACACACACTTACACACACTTACACACACTTACACACACTTACACACACTTACACACACTTACTTACACACTTACACACACTTCCACACACTTCACACACACTTCCACACACACACACTTACACACACTTTACACACACTTACACACACTTACACACACTTACACACACTTACACACACTTACACACACACACTTACACACACTTACACACACTTACACACACTTACACACACTTACACACACTTACACACACTTACACACACTTACACACACTTACACACACTTACACACACTTACACACACTTACACACTTACACACTTACACACACTTACACACACTTACACACACTTACACACACTTACACACACTTACACACACTTACACACACTTACACACACTTACACACACTTACACACACTTACACACACTTACACACACTTACACACACTTACACACACTTACACACACTTTCACACACACACACGCACACACGCACACACACGCACACACGCACACACGCACACACGCACACACGCACACACACGCACACACACAAACACGCACACACACACGCACACACACACGCACGCACACACACATACGCACATACGCCCGCACACGCACGCACACGTGCAAGCGCACGCACGCGCCCGCGCAAATATGCACGCAGACACGTCAACACACACGCACGCGCAGGCGCAACCGCACACGCACACGCACACGCACACGCACATGCACATGCACACGCAAACGCACACCCACCCACCCACCCACCCACTCACACACACATACACACACGCACACGCACACACACACGCACGCACGCGCACACACACACCACACACGCACACCACGCACACACGTGCACGCATCCGCACACACACACACGCACACACACAAGCACACACACACACGACACGCACACGCACACGCACACGCACACGCACACGCACACGCACACGCACACGCACGCGCACTCGCACACGCACACGCACACGCACACGCACATTCACACGCACACGCACGCACACGCACACGCACACGCACACGCACACGCACACACACACACCTATACGCACACGCACACGCGGACGCACACGCACGCACACACGCACACGCATACGCACACGCACACGCACACGCACCTTCATTTGCACACGCACGCGCACACGCTTTTGCACATGCACGTGCACATTCACATGCACATGCACATGCACATGGACATGCACATGCACATGCACACGCACACGCACACGCACACACGCACACACGCACACGCACACCAGGACAACATGTCTAGTGGCCGCGGGGGTGGTGGTGGGGGGCTCTGCCCCTTGGCCGCGCCTGGTCCGGGCCGCCTCTCCGTGGGCTGGGGCGGCCGCGAACCAGCTGGACGACGCCAGCCGAGTATCAGGCCAGCCTTGTGCGCGCCGACGCGCGTGCCACCGCGCGCCGAAGCGTGCATCTGGCTGGTGGGCTACGCGGTTGGCGTCGTCCAAGCCAGGTGCCCCCCGCACGCCTGCTTCTGCTCGGGGGCACTCTGGCCGCTGCCCCCCCCCTTCCAGACTCCTGGCGGGCCAGGTGCCGCTGCCCTCTGGCGGCGTGCGCCCGAGCCTGAACCCGCACCTCCTGCCTCTCCTTGCTTCTCGTCCTTCGCCCCTCCTCCTCCTTCTTCTCCTCCTCCTTCTCCTCCTCCTCCTCCTCCTCCTTCTCCTCCTCCTCCTCCTCCTCCTCCTCCTCCCCCTCCTCCTTTTCCTCCTCCTTCTGCTCCTCCTCCTCCTCCTCCTCCTCCTCGTCCTCGTCATCGTCCTCGTCCTCGTCGTCGCCGCCGTCGTCCCATTGCTCATCTGTCTTCTCATTTTCCTCCGCTCCCTCTTTCTCCTCTTCGCTCCTCCTCTTCGTCATCCTCGTCCTGTCTCTTCTCCTTCTCCTCCTGCGCATCCTCCTCCTCCGTCTCTTGCTCGTGTTCCTCCTGCGTCTCGTGCTCCTACTCTTGCTCCTTCCCACCTCCCCCATCTTTCTCATCTTCTCGACCTTCTCTTCCTACTCCTTCTCCTTCTCCTTTTCTTCCCATTCCTCCTCCCTTCTCTTCCGTGTGCGCCGCAGGTACGGCGACATGCTGGACGCGGCTAACCCGGAGGGACACGGGAAGGAGGGTGCACCCAGGCGGGAGGCTTGTGGAAGAGGTCCTCTTCCTCCCCTTCCTTTCTCCCTTCCTTGCTTCCCTTCTTCCTTCATTCCTTATTCTCCCACGCTGTTTCTTTCAAAACGCCGACGCCGTCCTCATCCTGCTCCTTTCCTCCTCCCCCCTTCCCCTCCTCCACATGCTCCCCATCCTTCTCCCCCCTTCTCCTCCTCCTCCTCCTGCTCCTCCTACTTCCCCCCTTCTCCTCCTCCTGCTCCTGCTCCTGCTCCTCCTCCCCCTCCTCCTCCTTCTCCTCTACCTCCCTCTCCTCCATCCTGTTTCCTTATACATAACTCCTTCCTGTCGCGCCCCGAAGCCAGTTGCAAGGGTGGGCCAAGTGTTTCGACTGAGACTTCCCTACCATTTCTGATCTTTGGGGTCGACCTTCGTAACAGTTGCACGGATGGAGAGCGGTCCTTTTTCAAACTGAGGTTCTCGCCTTAGCGCCGCGCATAATCATTTTAATCAATTGCAGAAGTTTTGCGGATGGAGGGCGGTTCGCTTTTAAAATGTGGTTCTCGCCTTAGCGTTGCGCGCATTCGTCCTAACAAACAACAGGTTTGACGTATTGAGGGCGGTTCCTTTTACAACATGTGGCTTTCGCCGAAGCGCCGCGCACAGTCGCTTTCAACAATTGCAAGAGTTTCGCGGATGGAGGGTGGTTCCTGTTCAAAATGTGGCTCTCGCCCAAGCGGCGCGCACATTCTTATTCAGAGTTGCCAGCATTTCAAGAATTCTCATGCTTAACCTCCCACACAGAACGTTCTGGTATGGTGTCGGAATGCCAGGGCGCAGCAGTCACGTTGATTCGCGGTGTTGGACACCCGTGAATGATGTTCTGGTACGCTTCAGGGTCGTCAAGACGCAACAGTAGCGGTGCTGCTCGGCGTTGAAGTCCCAAGAATTGCTTGAGGCCTCTTTGGGCGGACGGCTCACATTGACGCTTCATGTTCCCCCTCTTGGGGCCCTGTTTGTTGGGGCTCTCTTGGGCGATCGTGGGCGCCCCGTGGGCCGTTTTTGGGCCCTCTTGGACCGTGTAGGGCCTTCTTGGGGGCCTCTTGGGCCGTCTTCGGGCGGTCTTGTGGGCTTCTGGGGCGCGTCGGAAGCCCGAAACTGCGAGAACGCGAACAACAACGAACAACACAAGGACCATCAATGACTTCTGCCTCTCTGGGCCCTCTTGGGTGTCCTCTTGGAGCGCTCTTGGGGCTCCTTTGGGTCTTCTTGGGCCGTCTTGGGCGTCTTGGAGCGCTCTTGGGCTGTCTTGGAGGCCTCTTGGACCCTCTTGGCCGCTTTCTGGGGCCCTCTTGGCCCGTCTTGGGGCCCTCTGGCCTTTGGACAAGTCACGCGAGGCAGCCCAGGAGCGCGCGAGAGCGCCTGGGACATTTGAAAATGTTGGGCCCCAGCCCTTCATAATAGTAATCCCAGGGTCCTGCGTACAGAGACCAGAGAACCCTTAAGGATCTGAGGACGCTCCACTTTGTGTCTAGAGGCACGGTGGCGTATACAGAGAGAGGGAGAGAGAACAATAGAGACACACAAACATATCTATATCTATATATATAGGGCTAACGATACACACGCATCTGTATACACACACATATATATATACAGAGAGAGAGAGAGAGAGAGAGAGAGAGAGAGAGAGAGAGAGAGAGAGAGAGAGAGAGAGAGAGAGAAAAAAAGAAACAGACAGAACAGAGCAGGGCGCAGACATCAGCTCACGACGTCAACGCAGCCCTGGACGGGGCATCACGCCATCGGCATCGGAGCTCACACAGGGTCTCATCGAGCCCCTTCATGCAGGACAGGGGACTCGACAGGGGAGATGGAGGAGGAGGAGGAGGAGCAGGAGGACGACAACGATGAGGAGGGCCGTGGGCAGCCGAGTGGCTCCCTCTCCTGCTTTGGGGGCTTGGGATCCAGGAAGGTTTTTGGTTTTTATTTTGCAGCGAGGGGAAGGAGCAGAGTGAATGGAGCGCAAGGGACCCATACATCCAATGTTTTGAAATAGTCAACACGTTGTTTTATTCTTCGACGCTTTCGGCCTCCAGGGGCTGGTGTCGGGCCTCTGGGCCTTCAAGCAATGGCTCAGGATGAGAAGTCGGCCATGGGGAAACGGTCGGGACGTCCGTGGACCCCGTGCTGACAAAAATCAGGACTTTGGATTTCTGGGGCAGGAAAAAATCCGAAGGCCCTCCTCCCCCTTGGCTCCAGACCCACGTCGTCGTGACAACCTCATTTGACCTCGTGGGCCTCCTGTAGAAGGTCTCGATCCCTTCCCCATGACGGGCTCCACGATGGCCCCTGGGCCCCTGGAGGCGGGCAAGGGTCCCAACCGTTCCGCCGTGAGTTTTGTCGCGACACGAGGTGGCATGGGGCCCTGGAGGAGGAGGAGGAGGAGGAGGAGGAGGAAGAGGAGGAGGGGGAGGAGAAGGAGGAGGAGGAGGAGGAGGAGGAGAAGGAGGAGGAGGCGGAGGAGGAGGAGGAGGGGGGGACAAGGGGGAGGAGGAGGAGGGGGAAGGCCTGGGCGTCGCGATCTGTTCACGCTGGGCGTTTTCGCTCGGCCTCGGGGCCTCGAGACCTCCGCGGCTCGATCCGGCTCGGGGTGTGTCGCGGCTAGACGGGCCCGGGGCCCCCGTCGTGATTCTTGGCGATGCTGCATCCTCGTCGTGACGTCGACTATCATGGGAGAGGCTCTGCTCCTTCGCCTCGCGCGGAGGTGGGGGGGGGGCGGGCGACCGAGGCCCCGGCGAAGCTAGGTCAGGGGCCCCGCGGCGACTGCGGCGGCACGTCGACGGACAGCGGTGGCCTCGGCCCTCGTCCCTCCTCTCGCCTGAGGCCTCGTCGTCGTCGTCCTCCTCCTCCTCCTCGGCCGCCATCTCCCCTGTCGAGTCCCTCGTCCTGCCTGAAGGGGCTCGATGAGACCCTGTGTGAGCTCCGATGCCGCTGGCGTGATGCCCCGTCCAGGGCTGGCGTGATGCCGCTGGCGTGATGCCGCCTGGCTCAAATCTGGCTCAAGTCTGCCCAAGTCTGCCCACTTAAGTTCTCTTCATTCCTCTCTACTTCACTTTCATCTTTCCCGCAACTCGCAGACTGCGATGGCACTCCCTGGCAAGCACAAGGGAGGACCCGGATCTTCCCCTGACAATCAGAAGCACCAGAAGTTAAGTTTGAATCCGCACCGGACGGTGTTGAGCAAATGTTCAATGAGCTTAAGGAGCTACTGGGAGGGTTGACGACCGAGGTCGACGAGAGCCTCAAGGTCGCTCAGGAGGCCCGTGCTTCTGCAACATCAGCACAACAATCCGCATACGCTGCACAAATCGGCGTTGCAGGAGTGGAGCACGACATCAAGAAGGCCAACCGGCGCCTCGGCATCATGGACACGAAAATCAATGACATCGAGAACAAGCGCAACCACGACATCCCCACCGTCGGGCACTCCGAGACAGAAGAGCGCATGAGGCAAATCATGGTATTTGGATTTCAAGAGCGTCGAGCAGCAATTCAAATCATAAGCATACTAGTCAAAGTACTGGGTGATGGCCACAATGGTAAAATGATCCACCCGGACCGACCAAGCTAAAAAGGGCATCCTCAGTTTCCCTTCGATCCTTGTCAAAGTGGAATTCCTTCTAAACGTACTGCAACCACAAGGGCGACGCGATGATCAGAGGCAAGGTGTTCAAGAACAATTTGACGATCAATGAGCAGGAGCAGCGCGCATTTTTCCACAGTTCAGCACCGCCACGGGCAGCGGCAACCAACAACCAGCAAACGCAGCACCAGCGCCGTCCAGCAACGCCACCACAAGCAGCGCCGACCTCACCCAAGCAACACGCTCCACCGACCAACGCCGACCACCGACCGGCAGCACCACAAACAGCGCCGACCCCGCCCGACCGGCATACACCACCGACCAACGCCGACCACCGACCGGCAACACCACAAGCAGCACCGACCCCAACCGACCAACACCGCCAGACAGTACTCGCCCCCGACCAGCACCGACCAGCAGCAACACCACAAGCAGCAGCGACTCCAACTGACCAGCAGCAACCACCACCCACCACCGACAACCACCGACCAGCAGCACCGTCACAAGCAGCACCGACCCCCGCCGACCCTCAGCGACCCCGCTCACCAACTCAAGCAGCTCCAACGGCCACGACGATCAGTCACACAAACGCCTGGTCACTGACGACGGACGACTGAATCCAAGAACTTATTGCAGAATTTGACAGTGTACAGTGGGATTTCGTGCTCATTAACGAGACGTGGAGGACGACGGCGACGGAGCTATGGACGACCACGGAGGGACGCATTTTTGCTGGATCTGGCAATGACCAGACGTGTCATGGAGTTGCAGTTCTCGCACGCAAGCGTTGGGGCAAGCAAATGCAGGAATTTCAAGCACGTTCGCTGAGACTAGCCACAATGTCATTGCAGAGGGGGCGGCTGAAACTGCAATTGGTGTCAGCGTATTTCCCGCACTCTTGTTGCAGCGACCCGCGTGTTCAGCGCATGTGCGACGTCATCCACGAGATTCACAGAGGGAGGGAGAGAGAGAGAGAGAGAGAGATCATTAAAGCACGACGTCGCATCATTCTCGCCGGCGACTTCAATGCTCAGGTTGGGGCATCCACCAATTCTGAGGACAACGGCAACGACGGCGACGACGACCGCGTCACCTCAATATGCGTTGGCCGTCACGGTTATGGGAACCCCAAAACTCAAGGGGCACTTGGTTGCGACATTGGGCAGCGCTGGAAGGGCCTGTAATCGGGAGCGCATTCTTCCGCAAGCCGGCGCACAAGCAAATTGCGTACACCAGAGGCGACAACGAGAAGCAGCTCGATTACACATTGCTGAGCCGCAAGCTTCCGACACTGCACGAGCGCTGAGGCCAATAACACGTCCGACCTGGGATCTGGCCGCAAGGCTGTTCT